GTCTTATTCTTTATCTTTTTCTTTTCTTAACGCTGCAAGATTCGCATCCTAGATTTAACACGTTTACCGTCACGTCAAAGCGATTCTCTATCTCAGGAAACAAGCAACAAAGAGAAATAGAAATAGCAAGGAAACGGCAAGTAGAAAAGAAAGATGGAAAAAAGATAGAAAATTTTGAGCTTCTGTTTAAATTTCTTCTTCCTCTTCTTATTTTTGTATTCTCCTATTATACTTTTTTAAACAAACTTAATAAACATTTGTTTTAACCCTTTGATTACTGAATACTTTTAACTAAATTGTTTTGCAAACATGGAATAGTTTATTACTATTGTTACGCGTTTGTTTCGTTGATTAATTTTATTTTATAATCACATTTATAATAAATGATATATTTAATAATTCAAGTATTTGATTTCTCTCTCTTATATATAATTTTGATGTGACAATTATTCAAAACAATAATTAATTTTCAAAAAGCAACATTACATTATTATTTTACATTCATATTAACAAACGCATATATGCGTTCTAAGCAGTCAAAGGGTTAAAACCCTTTCTTTTTTTATTAAATATTTTTCTATGTTTTATTTTTTCTTTTCATTTTTCATAACGAACAATCATAATAACCAAGGTACGGCGAATATATATGCATATAAAAAATAAGAAAAAGGAAAACCCAGCCTAGTTTTGTTTTAATTTCTTACCACGATTATACGATTTTTGCTATAATACTTATCGCGACTAAATAATCCCAGGAGGCAGTAATAGTTGTTGTAAACTGGTAATAAATGGAAGCCTTTGGAAGGGAAAGAGAATCCACGTCCTGGGTGGATCGATCAGGATGTAATTGTAAGAAATAGTCCTTTCGTGTCTCCAAGGATAAGTGGATAAAGACAAAAGTTAACGTGACGTTCGTTCGTCTCAACACCTTTCTCTATCTTTTAATGGGAATTATCCTTATAACCCATTTATCCCATACCCCATTCCCTACATTCCTATAACCTTCTCTCTCTCTCTCTCTCTCTTTCTCTCTCTCTCTCTCTCTTTCTTTCTCTCTTTGTTTCATTTTTTACATATATATGCACATCGGTATATTCTTATTTTGATATATTTCAAACCACACCTGAAATTATGCTCACATATTTTGAGACACTCTGTATAAATTTTCTGAGGAGACACACGTACAGTTTAAGTCGTATATATGTGTATATGTGTGCCATTCCATTTTGATTTATCTAACCAATTAATCTTCACCGTTTAAATGCGATAGATAAGAACGTGATAGTAACCTACAGATGTTGGATAACATTTCCTCTTTAAAAAAGAAGAAAAAAAAAAAGAAATAAAGAAAGAGAAGTAAGGGAGAAAGAGAGAGAGAGAGAGAGAGAGAGAGAGAGAGAGAAAAAAAATTGTATCCACTTTAAAACGTTTAAAAAGAAAAAAAAAAAAAAAACAAAAAGCAGAAAAGAAAAATCGTGTTAGGTTTTATATCTAAATGCAATCCCATTCTTTGTATTTGTGAGATAACCTCCCCACCAAGGAAACGTTAAATAAACACTCTGATACTGTAACGTTATTTCGAGTATTCGAATAAAAGGAAGAGAATACGTAAAATCGTATAAATCTAATGCTATACGTTTTTATCCATGTATTTACATATATGCATCTTCAAAAGTAACACGAAAGTGAAATATATTTGAAATCTTACGTATCGTTTAGAAATAACTGCAAATTAATTATCACTGATGGGAATATTTATTAAGAATTTATTTTTCTATTGTGATTTATATAAACGATATTATTATCGTTCAACTCCTTGGAGGGTCGTTAAGCTATTATTTGTTTTATTTTTTTTATATTTTTTTTCATCTTATGTATACACACATGCATACATGCATATACGTTGCACTTTTACAAAAGATACACCAATTCGTTTACTTGCTTATTTACTCGCTCGTACATTTTCCAAGCGTAACGAATGTAAAAATAAAAAAATACTAAAAAAATAAGATAGAAAAACAGAGAGAGAGAGAGAGAGAGAGAGAGAGAGAGAGAGAGAGAGAGAGGAAGAATGAGAAATTATATTATGTACGTAACTACATACCTCGATTTTCGTGTACGAAGATATATCCCTCGAAGTTTGCGTGTTCGTTTGAGCATTTGTATGTAAGAGAAAAGTGCATCGTTTATTTCTACACACGATGGTGTAAGACGATTGATGTAAATCTTTCGTTCTGAATGCCGCATAGAGGCTTGTACTATATATGTACATACACAACCATACGAAACGTATGCACATATACGCACACATACATACGTAACACGCGTACAACCGTAATAAATATCATTTTTATATGCACAGTAATATTCTATTACATTTCATATTTTCTTATGTTTTCTCATCAATATTTGATTTTTGTTTCACCTATCATGAGATTACTGTACTTATACGTTTTTTTATGTAAAATAAAAGTCCACATCCCAAGAATAAAAAATTAAAAAAAAAGAAAAATAAATAAAATATTAATAAAAAATAAAAAAAAAAACGAAAAAAAAGGAATAGAAAAAAAGCATTAATTAATATCGACCGATATATATATATGTATATTTTTATATATATATATGTAATCCTTTTTTTTTATATACGTGTACCTTTTTTCGAATTAATTTTTTCAACTATACGTGGGTGAATTGAAAAGTTTTGAGCCTAACATAGATACACTCTATTATCTCCGTAAAATTCACTTTTATTTTATTTAAAGTTCTTTCTTTTTCGTTCGGTTTTTTTTTTGCCGTCGAGACTCATAACTTTTCAACTCATTCTCGTATATTATAATAATCTCGGGTTTATATATATATATTTAATATATGCTTTTTATGTACAGACTTATTCCAATCCGTTGTTGTGTTTTTTTTCTTTTTTTTTCATTTAATTATCATTATTATTATTATTATTATAATATTTTTTTGTTTGTTTAAACGGATGAATCTAACATAATCACAGCCACTTTATATCTCTCTCTCACGTGTGTAATATCGATAAACGACTAGGTACAAAGTACATACACAAACGGTAGGTACATAATGTGTAAATTTGCCGAGGATTCTTAACACATACAATGTTTTTTTTTTTTTTAATATATTCCCTTATATTATAATTATTATTATTATTATTAATTATATATATTCGTATAACTTCGTATAATGTATGCTATACGAAGTTATTACGTATATGGCGCTATACGTTACGAGGGAAAATGATTACTCGTAAAGTTTATCGTAATAATATTGGCAGCTTTTATAACGTGTGTGACGTATCGCGGATTCGACGTGTGACGTGTGACGAGTGACATGACGTGCGTGACGTTACGTTAAGTTCGTGACGTCATTTTGTTTTGCGAATATATCGAAGACAATGTAACCGAGAGTCACGTCGAGACGCATATCCTAGCTTATTTTTTTTTTTTTATTTTTTTTTTTATTTCGTGTTTTTCGTCTTTTTTTTTTGTTCATTATAATACCTACTTTTTTTCTTATTTAAACACGTTGACTGTCGTACAAATAAAAATCAAAATACAAATTTGTTAATGGTATAAACAAATCACTTATTATCATATTACATTTAGAAACGAAGCAATGAATTAATACAATATTATAAAATACGTAAATAGGGGTTGAGAAGTCTTATTTCAGTTAAATATAAAGACAAGAAAAAGAAAAAGAAAAAAGGAAAGGGATATTTTTTCGTCTAAAGGTTTAAAACTTTTCAACCCGGAATCAGATTCATATATATATATATATATATGAACAATTTTTCATTTGACAATCAACGAGTTAACAAATAACTAACAAAATTCTTCATAGCGTTTGAAAAATTCTATTCGGACTAGTTTAATCGTATTGTTATGTTCTTATCTTTTTTTTCTTTTTTTTTGTTTTTTCTAGTTAAATTTCTCCTTTCATACATTCTTTTACATTATTTTCTCTCTTCATTTGAACGTCGATGTGAGACTCGATCGAACGAGTGAGACACGACACGAAAATCGAATAAATTTCAAATAATATCTCGATCAATCGATATTCTTTTTCTCGGCACGTAAAATCCTCTCTCTCATTCTCATTTTATTTCTAGACGAGAGAGTAACGCGTTTTAATAACGCCAAGAGAAAATCAAATTCGTTTTATCTTTATATATATATATATATATATTCGGTATGTTCAGACACGGCTGAGAAAGTCGATGTAAACCCCAAGAAATGCTTTTGATAAATTACAAAACGAATCCCATTATAAAACGGGAATTAATAACGTGAACGAATAACTCTTCTTCTTCCCTACCTCTTTGCTATTTTCCTTCTATGTGTTCTAACTATCCGATATAATATTCTTACGAGTTCTAATGTTAATCGATAACGTTCAAAAGGAGATGTAAGAGAATATGCTCCTATCTAAATCTCGTAAAAGCTTAAAAGCTTGTTTGTTACTTCGTTTAATTTTCAAATGTCTTAAATACATATTTAAACGAATAAACGATTAACAATAAAATAGAAAGAATAAATAAATAAATAAATGATTGAATGTGTGTGTGTGAGTGAATGAATTAATTTATCAATTTAAAACGTTTTGCAATAATTAACGCGAATCCTTATTTATATTAACTAGGACAATTAATGTACGATTATTGATTGATTATTATTATTATTATTATTATTATTATTATTATTATTTTTTAATCTCCGATTAGATCAAATTTCAATAGTTTTTTTCTTTTTCCCCTTTTTCATTTCATTATATTTTTCATTAAAATTTTTCTCGAATAACAATACGTTAATTAATACGTTCAACGTCTATGCAAAATTTCATTTACGTACGCGAATTTTACAAATCCGACGAATTACTCGCGTATATATACGATGTGTGTGTTGAATATTTTTTTTTTTTCATACATTTTTTCTATATATATATATATTTTTTTTTCTTTGGGTTTTATATTCAATAGAATAAACTATGGCAACGAAACTAGTCGAACGCGTAATAGAGTTCGAACGTGCATTTTCGTTTCGATTTTTCACGAGGCAGTAGAACACGTAAAAAACGAAGAAGCGTGTATCGAAACGTCGCGCGTTTGCGAGAATTCCTTTAAATTGATTATCTCTCTCTCTCTTTTTCTCTATTTCTTTATCAACGTTCAATTTTCGCTACGTTTATTCGATCTTTCAAACTTGTCCTGTCACTTATAAAACGATAGTTTTAAATTGGGCCAGAACACATTGGAACACAGAACAAAATATCACGAGTTCGAAATTTTACGGTGTAACGATTTTTAGAGTCTCTCTCTTTTTAACGATCTGATATCTAATCCTCTTTTTTCTTTTGTTTGTTTTTTTTTTTGGTCTTCTTTTTAAACAAATGGAAAATAAATCATTTTCGATTAAATCGAAACGAAATTCTTTTTGGCAATGAAAATTTTTCGCGCGTTTCGACAATACCGCGAGTTATTTTTCTGTATTTTCTTTTTTTAAAAGACCAACAAAACCTCTGTTAGATGAAAATTACAGATTTATAATGAACACTCCCCGTTAACGCGTTGATTTTTAATCTTCTTTTTTTTGTCGCTATAAGTGTATTATTATTTAATTCACGCGAAATATTATCACGAGAATTTAACAACACCTTTTTATTTCTTATCGAATGATTGATGATATTTTACTCGAAGACACTGTCAGCAGCCTCCCGAATCTTGACGATCAGAAAGGACCTCCTGCAGAGTTTGACGAGCATTTCTATCCTCTGTCAGGAGGGTTTCCTTATTTGGGGTAATGCAATGAGGTAAATGTTTCCCAAAATGGCGCCGACTATCAATAACAATATGCTAACGCCAGATATTAATCTGACAAATCTGACGAATCTTCGTCCTCGTGAATCCTTCTTGCTTTGTTTTGGGAAGACAGCAAGACCAAGAAGTGGCCCAGCTAATGCACCAGCCACGTGTGCAGCCCAACCAACTCTTCCACAACCCACCAATGCTGGTATTGGTAATGATGCAAAATCTGCACTGGCGAGTAATAACACAGCACCTAAACGCCACCCTGCGTAACGTAGTTCACCGTGACACTGAAAACAGTATAAACGTATTCGATTAACTATTCAACGATTTATTTTATTTTAATGTTTTCATTTATTTATCTCGTTCAAATGATTCGACAAATTTGAACGATCATTTTTCCTAATTTACAATCTTTCTTTTTTTTTTTTTATTTGCTTCCAATTTTATTCTCAATCTCAGCATAAATCTTGTAACTTAATTAATAGGAAGAGTAACGAAATATTATTTGCAAAAATTTTGTTTCTTTTTTGTCCGACAGACACAGGTAAGTTTGATACTTTAATAATCTTACGAGAAGCATTAGAATGTTTAATTTCATAATAAAATTGTTCTTTTTTCTTTAATGATATTTTTTATAATGGCAGTTGTCGTTACTTGGAACTTAGTTACAGGTTTTCGTTCAATTCGAGACATATAGAGACTGACTTGACTGTATTGTATCGTGCGAAATGTAAATCCATTTCACAATAGCTATGTCACAGTAACACCTTTGTGACAAGCATACTGGATTATATATCAGAGTTTTCGCACGGTGTCATGTCACAAATACGCTTTGTCTTCTTAGCCGTAGGGTTACTGAAAATGATTATATCTTAGGGCTAACATAAAATGTATTAAGGATCTCTGTCACTGTAAATATCTTATTATTAACACTGCTATTTATTTTATTAATATTTTCATCAAACAAATATTAATTACCTATCAATATAGTTTTATTCAATATAAATAATCATTTATTATCAGATTATTATAAGAATGGTAATTTATTATAAATATTGATCAATAGTTGTTGTATATATTATATTATTATACTTACTGGACCAATAATATTTTACAATACTAATACAATAAATAGCAAATTATAATTAATACTATACCTATTTTAGATTCTTGTAAACGGATATATAAAATCGTAAATGACAAAATTATATATAATTTCACAATTTACAGAGAGTTATTAAATAAATGAATAAGTATTTATAATATGTGAGATATTGAATATCAAATAGAACAATTTTGTTTCGGACAGAATAAAAAAATGTATGAAACAATTTTGTTATTTATACTTTTATAATTTGAAAATGAAGGTACATTAGCTCACCAAGTAAAGATGAGCAAGATGACTGGTGAGTAATGCATATACTCCTGCCGAAGCTCCGACTAGATAAACACTAGGTTGCAAAAGTGAAGCACCCAAAGCTCCGCATACACCACCACCTAAATAAATTGTTGCTACTCCCATTCTTCCTTGTTCAACCTGTAGAAAGCACAAATGGAATAGCTAACGAATTATTTACTAATATTATTTATTAGATGGTGAATAATAATTAATACGTATTCGTTAGTAAACTGTTGCACGCTAACTAATTAATTAACAAAACGTTTCGTTAAATCTAGGCGCAAATATGAATCAAGGAATTATTATTATCATAATTATATTTATTTACGAATATAGTATTAATGCGAAACAACCAAAAACAAACAAATTAGAAATAAAGTCCAATGTAATATTAATATCGTTTAATTTAGATCAATTATTCTCTATATTTCTACAGACAATTATTTTTTATATTTAATTTTTAGAAATGAACTAGGGAATGTATATATATAACATTAAATCGAATAATTTTCTTACTACGAACACATTAGAAAATTATTATCTCTTATATTCAAGAAATAATATATATCTAATTATATTCTTAAAAAACTAATTTAAAAATGTATTATAACGTGAAATATATTAAATAATACAACATTTTCTAAATAATATTTGCATTATAATTCGTATTATTGATTTCATTCGTATTTACTACATATTAGTGTTACATATATACAAATTAATAATTCATTTATAGTTAAATTGTGTAATGTGTGTAAAATTTAATGAAGTAATTATAGCTTTCATTGGATCAAAGGCTAAAATGTTGTGAGTTTCCGTGACCAACAGGCAGATCGATGGAGTGAATAGTGAAAGTGATATATGTGTATACACACACATATATGTATATATATATATATATATATACACAAAGGGAGTAAGATAGAATGAGACAGAGAGAGACGAAGGTGTGAGGTTCGCAATTTAGTCGATTAGCTTACCTCGAGTGGAGTAGCCAGGACCAGCTGGATGAGCACGTTGAGCACAAGGTGAAGCGCGTTGGAGTGTAGAAGCATGTACGAAGCAAACCTCCACCCTTGAACCCTTTGCCGAGGGTCATAGACCAACCATCTCCGCAACGTCGCTTCGTCTCCGAAACAGTGGACGGTTATCTGGCATGACAGAAAACACCGTATACGTTTTATTTTAAAATAACATACCCATGAAAACGATCATACCTTTTCAACTTGATTTATATATGATATATATATATATATATATATATATATATATATATTTATGTAATATTTATTTGATATAACTTTTAGGGAGTTCACCAAACGTTGAAAATAATTTGAACGTTCGAACGATTAATCTTAATTGGTATTCGAATGGAAAATTTATATACCTTTCGTTTACACTTTGATTTAAGATCGTGGGAGGCTTTTGAAAAATGAAGAAAAATAGAAGAAAGAAGAAGGAAGAAAAAGATGAAGAAAGAAGAAAGAAAAAAAGAGAAAAAGAAAGTATAAAGAAAAGAAGGAACGATCGCGATCGATCTTTGCAGTGATCACTTTTAACCTGAAAGAGTGAAAGAGAAAAGAAAGAAGAGTCAAGTAAAAAGGATGAATTCCGATACAATTGGAAGGCTATCATTGGAGTTTCAATTATATGGGGCTTTGCACTCTTCAATTAACAGATCCAATTTAGTTAAGGGTATAGCGGTCGCATTAGGAAATAGGGGGTGGTGGTGGTGAAAGGTATAGACCACCGTTGCGGTTCGTCGAGTTTACAATTCTATGTTATCGTCGATGCTATGCGACTGTAAAAGCGAAAGAGAGAGAGAGAGAGAGAGAGAGAGAGAGAGAGAGAGAGAGAGAGAGAAAAAAAGGAAAAACGATAAGTAGAGAGGACCGAATTTTCTCTTTCGCCAAAGCAAAACGAGCAAACATCCACTTCCCTTCATTTTCTGTCTCTCTTTCCATCATTTGAACGAACGACAAACTAATTCCAATTAAATAAATACACCTATGTATACGCGTGTGTAATTGATTTTGTTTTAAACTTTAATGATAGATAAATGTCCGAAAATGTATCTCTAAAGTTTATGTCTGATCCTAGAAAAATATCAAGAAACTTATAATACATAATAGTGTTTGATTATGATGTAAAAAAATAAATTAGTAAATTATAAAGTGTTTTAATATTAATATATCGCATATAATAAATTACATTGTTAAAGATGAGAGATTTAAATTAGTAGTTCGTATATATAAAATCCGTATATATTTATATATTTTATTATTATTATTAAATATTATTAATATATACAAAAATATGAACATTGAATTACCTTTCGCTTCGAATGTTCGACGTATACTAACCACCGATATCGATTTACCGTGATGATATCGATTGTGATCACGCTTCCCTACCACGTGACATGCGCAGTAGTTACTGCGCAACTTATCGACTTCTACTGTCGCTCTCTGTCAGAAAGTTATCGTACTACTTCAAATCTTTTCGCGTATATCGCAGAAAAAAAATGAAGTAAATATAATATTTTTATTAAATTAACGCATAAAAAAAAAAAAAAAAAGCTTTTACTTTAAGTAATTAAACTTTTTTCCTTTGGACGTAATTTTTAAGAAGAAGATTTTCTCTTTTTCTCTCAATGTTAAAAAAAAAAAAGAAGAAAAAAAAGGAAATTCATTAAAATGATAAAAAGAAGGGTTGATGTGCATGATGCATCATAACCACCAGCATATAAGAGCAGGATGATATCCCAAGTGCGAATTTAGCGAAATAATGCTTTAACCGCGAAATTACAGACGTAAGTGGCGTATAAAACGGTAAATGCGTTTCTAAAGGCGCAACAAGATGAAATGGGAAGGTGGTAAAGGAGCGAGTAAAAATATCAAGGGTTGAAAGAACGAGCATGTAGGTATAGCTTGCCGTGCTGTAACGATAATAATCATCCTAAGAGCTTGAAATGGCAATGCCAACGGAGTCGAGAAGTCACTTTTGGAATAGGAGGAGGTAACGCGTAAACTCACAACCGCTAAATTAAATGGACGCTCGATTCCATGAACATTTTACGAATCTTTCAAATCGTTTCGTACTTTACATGTGTATGCGAATCGATGTAGAAACGTGAATGAAAATGAAATAGTTATTTGTTAAAATATTTTCATGTGAGAAAAAAAAAGAAAAAAAGAAATCCACCATCTCCCCCCCATAAATCTATTTTGACAAAGGTCAAACATTATTGATGAGAATCGAATATAATTAATATGATTATCGAAATAAGTTTCATTGATGTAAATTTATATTATTCGATCGATGAAAAATATTAAAATGTTGTCAAATAAAAATAAATGAAAATGATACGTTATTAGTTTGATATATTTTAAATATTACAGATTTTTATGAAGGCAAAAATATGATGATAAGATTACTCGAGATATTTATATAAAAAGGAATTCTCGTATTACTCGTTCGTTTATCGATGCCTTAATTCCCATAGGGAATATCCTTATCGCATTTCACTTCGCTCGCTGAACGTTTTCACGAACTCTACGAGTGGGTACGAGGAGATGGCTCTTAGAATCGGAAGTGTGTGTGGTATCCTTCGATAAGGAGCTGATCGTTGCTTGGCAGAAAGTGACTCCAAGGTATGAATGACTGATATCTAATGAAATTTGAAGAAGCAAAAAATATAAAGAGTGAAGAGATAAAAAAGAAAAATACATATGGATTGTTTAGTTTAGAATTTCTTTAGCGTGTCAACAAAAAAAAAAAGAAAAAATAAACAATAAAATATTCCTTAACGCGAATCCTTGTTAAATTTTGACGCATTGAAATAATAAAAATAAACGAACAAAAATATAAAACCAAACAACAAGGATGTTATTTATGAGACTGTATTCAGGCATACAATTCGAGAGACAAATTAAGATAGATGATATAGAAAAGATAAAGATATGGATAAAGAGAAATGTAGAACACGTGTATGGGTGTCTTTAAAGATCGATCGTGAAAAAAAAGTATGGGTTTTGTAAGAGATATATATATATATATCTGATAACGTCGTAGCATTTTTATTACATGAGTGAAACTTCTTTTCTGTGTTATAAAAGGTAGATGGTGCAAGTGGATGCGGTGAAAGTATCAGAGAAAGAGAGTTGGGAATGAAAAAAAGAGAAAGAATGAGAGAGAGAGAGAGAGAGAGAGAGAGAGAGAGAGAAAGAGTGAGAAAGGTTCTACTCAGAAGACTTAAAAGTGCATTTAACTTCGTTGTTCTAAGTTCCTTGCATTTTATCCCTCGTGCATTCAAGGCTTATATCGTTGAGTCTTCGAAAAAGAGAGAAAGAGTAAAATAGAGTGTAAGAGAGTGTAAGAGAGTGTGAGAGGAGAGTGTGAGAGAGAAAAGATGCAGAAGATGCAGCCAAGTATAAGATGACTCTCTCCTTCCAGAATATTATTATCGTGCCAAAAGACCACAAGAGTAGCAACTCTCCTCTCCTCACCTCTCACCACTGACATTTTTTTATCTCACTTATTTGAATCTTTCGCCTTTCCACCTTTCTACCAACCCACACTGACTTTCCACCCACTTTTTCTTTCTTTCCTTCTCTTCTTTCTTTTTTTTACGTACAACACCAAAGATCTTTCTGGGACGTATAATAAGGAAAGATTTTTCTCTCTATTCTTTTTGTCCTTCTTTGACTCTTGTCTACTTCGCGTACATGTATTTGTAGGAATATTTGTGTAATTTCTTTTCTCTCTCTCTCTCTCTCTCTCTCTCTCTCTCTCTCTCTCTCTCTCTTTCTTGACTTCTTGATTTTGATTTTTTATATTTTTTATCTTTCTTTCTTTTACAAGAAGCGTTGACCTAGCTAATAACATTGCTAAGATTCTCTTTCCTCGCTTTCATTTCATTTTCCTTTCTTCTTTCTTTTTCTTTTTTTCTATTTCAGTTTTCTTATTACTTTGATTTTTATAAGAAAAAAAAAAAAAAAAAAAAAAAAACAACAATAATAATATAAAAAATTAGAAAAGTA